AACGCTCCGCCGAGTTTCGCCCCCAACCTGGATCCAGAGCCTGACGTACAGACTCGTCTCGACCCAACCTAGCAGGACGTGTCCGGTGGTGGGGGCGGTGATGGCTAGTGAAAGAGTCGGAGACGATCTGTATCTAGGCATTGATGTGTCGACGACTGGGATCAAGGTTGCGGCGTGCACGGATGACGGCCATGTGGCGGCGACGGCGTCGGTGCGGTTCGACGACGATCTGCCTCAGTATGGGACCTACGGCGGAGTCCATACCTTTGATGACGGCCGCGTCTCTGCTCCGCTAGCCATGTATGTCGACGGTCTTGTTCTGGCGCTGGATCGGGCGGCGGAGAGGTTTGGCGCCAACGCGATGGCGGCGGTGGCTGGGCTCGGCCTCTGCGCGGCGCAGCACTCGGTAGTCCTGCTTGCCACCGACGACATGGCGAGCGCGGCCGGTGACGACGCGCCGAACGGGGCGAGGATCGTGGCCGAGTGCGCGGCGTCGGCAGATGTGCCGTCGTGGATGGACGCGTCACCCGAGGCGGTGGCCGGAGCAGCGGTGCTCGCGGAGGCCGCGGGCGGGAGGGCGGCGCTGGCGGCGCGGACCGGCTCGCCGCCGTCGGCGCGATTCTCCGGGCCGCAACTGTGGGCAGTGAGGACGCGTTCGAGTGCAACGCTGAAGGCCACGGCTCACGTCCGGCTGCTCTCGGCCGCGCTGACGTCTGTGCTCGCCGGCAAGCTGGTGGCCAACGACGCGGCGGACGGGTCGGGCACCCACTTGCTCGAGCTGAGCACCCGGGCGTGGGCGAGCGAGTTGTGCGAGGCAGCCGCGCCTGGACTGGAAGCCAAGCTCGGGCCGGTTGCGGACGGATGCGAGGCCGTGGGCCGGGTCGCACCCTGGCTCGTCGCGCGGTACGGGCTGAGGGCAGACGTGCTTGTGGCGCCGGGCACGGGCGACAACCCGAGCGTGGTGGCTGGCCTCGGGCTCTCACGGACGCAGGTTGCGCTCTCGCTGGGGACATCAGACACACTCCTGGGGTTGTCCGATGCCGTGATTGCGTCCGACGCCGCGTCAGTCTTCTGTGCGCCCGAGCCCGCCAACGTGCACGCGCCATACATGGCGCTGCTGGTGTGTGCGAACGGATCGCGGACGCGGGCGCGGCTGGCGCGAGCACTGGTGGCCGAGACCGAGAGTGACGAGGCAGCATGGGCTGCGTTTGATGCGGCGCTAGCAGATGCACAGCTACACGGACGCGGGTATGCGCTCTTTGCAGACGTGGCGGAGATCCTGCCGCCGACGGCGGCGGGCGAGCCGCAGCGATGGGATGCCGACGGCGCCTGTTTGAGTGACGCGCCTGTGGATCCTGGCCTTGATGCCGTTCAGGCCGTGGAGAGCCGGGCTCTGGTGATGGCTCAAGCCGCGAGCTCGGTGGGAATCGAGTTGTCGGCTGCCGATGTTGCTGTGGCGGTCGGCGGCGGGGCGGCGTCGGACGCAATGCTGCAGCTGTTTGCCGACATCATGGGAGTACGCGTGGCGCGACCGGTCCACGGGGCGCACGGCGCGGCGATGGGTGCGGCACGGCGGGGAGCGACTGCGTGCGGCGTACCTCCAGACCGGTGGGCACCGAGGCTAGAGGCTGCACGGACGCCGCGGACGGCGACGGTGCATCGGTCGGCGGCGTGGCGGAGACGCGGTGCAGCGGCAATGGGCCTGTCGAGCAGAGAGTAGAGCGCAGGCTTTGTTACATTGTTGGCAGCGCTACGAGAGGGCAAAGAGAACGCCGGCAGCGGCGGAGAAGACCGAGGCGATGACGTCAAACGAGAAGGAGAAGCCCGGTGAGAGGTCGCCGAGCGGGGTCTCGAGCTGCGAGTTGTTGACGTGGAGCACAATGGAGGCATACAGCAGCCAGGCCAAGGTTGTGAAGAAGCAGAAAACAAAGGCGCCGAGCATGGAAATGAGCTTAGACTTGCTGCCGATGCCGAGGGCGAGCGGGAAGGACATGACCACAGCGGCCGCGCCCGGTACAAGGGCCAAGAACAGCATGGAGAACGAGGCCTTGCCACCCGACGACACCGAACCGCCGTGGAACTGCTCCAGCGGGGAGCCGGTTCCGGACTTCTTGCCATTGTGGATGATAGAGCACGCGCCGCCGCCGCCCGATCCGCTCGGGCACATCCAGAGCAGGCCCAGGAAGACCGACGAAGCGCCGTGCGGCTGATGGAGGACGGCCCAGTTGATGGTGCCTGCCGCGACGAGGGCAAACAGGAATGCAAACTGTAGGGAGATGATGAGCGGCATGAGTAGACAACCAGCATAGCGTTGACGATCAGCATGGCGTTGACGATCAGCAAGGGGTCGACGATCAGCAATGGGTGGACGATCAGCAAGGGGTCGACGATCAGCAATGGGTGGACGATCAGCAAGGGGTGACGATCAGCAATGGGTGGACGACCAGCAAGGGGTGGACGACCAGCACGGGGTTGACGATCAGCAAGGGGTCGACGATCAGCAAGGGGTGGACGACCAGCGAGGGGTCAATGACCAGCACGGCCAGCAGCGCAGAAGGATGAGCAGAAGAGAGCGATAGTGGGGAGCAGGCGATGGCGGGCAGCAGCACAGGTCGGCGAGCATTCAGCATGAGAGAGCGGAAGGGTACCAGCATGCGATGGCGGGCAGACAGCAGTCCATGGGTGAGTCATGCAGGGGAGGGAGTGACGACGGTGGTCTTTCTTGCATCCCCCGGGGCTGCGAGGCTGTGAGGGAGAGGGGCCACAAGCGGGAGCAGAAGACGTACCAACATGAGAAAAGCGCCAACGAGGGCCTTTGTCTTGACAGCCATGATGCAGGTGCTGGTCGAGATGGGTGAAGTGAGGTCCTCATAACCGCTCTTTCTCCATAGCCCTCTTCGTGAGGTTGGGCGGGGAAGAGGGGGAAAAAGGCGGTAGTGTGCGTGCGCACGTGCGATTCGCAGCTTACCCCACGCCTACACTCCCAACCGCACACCGCACACACGCACGCGCCACGGTCCCACACACCCCGACACCTCTCGCTATTGATGGACCCTACTTTGACAGACCCTCTTCCGAACATGGCATCCACTACTGCGACTGAGCCCGGCACTGACGGTCGTCTGGCCCCCAATGGCGTACGTGTGGACGAGCGAGTTTGATCACGAGCTGATCGCGATCCACGCCTGCGAACATGACGACGAGCACTCACCGCCCTTCCCCTCGTACAGAACTATGGCGCCAGTGACGCGACGCCGGCAGTGGTCGCGGTCAATGTGTCGGCAACCAAGGAAAATGCACCGTTGCTTGCCGGAGGTGCGGCCAGCCAGGCTGAGAACGGACAGACCGCAGCGGTAGCGACGACAGGCAGCCACGGTGGGCGGTCGGCCGGATCGGGCAGCGAGGGCGAGGCCGTGCTCGGCGTGGCGCCCAAGGTTGCGCTTGCCTCGCTGTACACCTTTGCGGTCCTTGTTGCGCACTTTTTCCTGGCGACGACAGGCATCCTGCTGATGAAGGAGTCATACTCGCTCCCGTACAACGCGGGCTACTTTTACTTTACGCTGGCATTTGTTGCCGGTGCGCTGGCCATTCCGATCTTGCTTGTGGTCTCGATGAAGGCGTCGGGCGAGGTGACATGCCATCCGGGCGAGTACTCGTGGATCATGCTTGGCCGGCTGGTGACGCTCGCACTGTACGTGCTCTCGCTCGGCTATGGTGGCTACTTTGTGCTCTCTGTCACTGGCTCGGGCTGCGCCACCAACATCCAAGCGTGCGGAACGAGTACCAAGGATCTGGTTCAGTACATGGTGTACTTTATGCTCTGCGGCGTGCTCGCCATCTGGGACGCATGCTTCAGCTCGCGCTACCGCGGGCGCAACCCGTACTAAAACGCCACCGTTGCTGCCGCTAGAACATGGTGATGAGGGCAAAGGTCGAAAAGTGGAGCAGGATCGGGTAAAAGACAAGCCATCGCTGCTGGCGCATGGCGAGACGGGCGACAAACATCGACGACGCCGAGTGTGTGCACCAAGCGACGACGAGCGCCGAGAGCGCCATGCCAACCCACGACGAGAGTTCGACAACCAGGGCGGCCGCCGAGAGGCCGACAATGGGCAGGAGGCAATAGCCGAGGACAGAGGCCACCAGATACACCGAGACGCCCGACTCGGACATCATATTGAGGAGGAGAAAGATGGCGGCGCAGCCGGCCGAGCCCACGCCGTAGATGATGTTGAAGTGAACCTTACCGGCCATGAGGAGGAAGAAGCCGAGGAGGGCGGCAAAGACAATCGGCCCAGCTAGATCGTAGTCATCCATCACCCGCGCCAGCTCAGCGTCGTCCACCCGCAGCGGATGAAGGACGGCAAGCGACTTGGACTTGATGTCGCCAAAGTCGATGCCCAGCTCCTCGAGCAATGGCGGCTCATCGTCAAACGAGCCTGTGAGGATGGAGCCGCCCGATCGGGGCAAACTCCCCATCCCAGCCTCACCACTAAAGCCACTACTCATACGACCACCAGGACCACCACCACTCCCACCTCCTTGTCCTCCACTACCTCCGCCAATGCCCGGCGAGTACTCCTCGCCGCCGTCTTCATACCCAAACGAGAGCATGCCGTCCTCGTCCCCCGCCGGCGCATTGTCAAACGCCACGTTCAGCATGACCCTGTCGAGCAAGACCAGCCAGTTGTATATGTATACAGAGTGGGGGAGATGGGGGAGGGGGAGGTGTTTGGGGAGGGG